TCCCAAGATAACAGGTTCAGTGGCCATGGCCAAAGTCGGAGGGGTGGTCTCTGGCACCATCCTAGGCCTTTCATCACAGGGTGAGTGCCCCTGGAATGGTCAGGAGCCGCGAAGGAGGAGACAGCTAGGGAGGGAGCGGCATCCTCAAAGCTGCCCTCTGCCACATGTCCACCTTGGCCTTCTCGCTAAGAAGCAGAGACAAGATCTTGGCTTGACCCTGGCTCTCTGAGTCCTCAAGGATTCAGGCTTCTGTGCTCTCCTTGGAGGCCTCGGCCCCTGAGGGGATCTGGAGCTGGATCCTCTCTTTGTAGTTCTCTTGCCTCCTGGATTCGCCACTAGAATTCACCTCTTTCCTGTTTGTCCTACTGAGTCTATGAACCAGAGCATCAATTTAAACAAAATTAGCCTCTTCTCTGGTTTTATTTACTTACTCTCTTCACATATCTTCTTGTCCATATTCTATGGCTTTTCTCACACCAAGAGCAGCCCCTGACACTGGCTTCTAAGTCTGCCAGTGCTCCTCTATGCCCCCCCTGCTCTTTGCCTTTCCATCCCCAGGGGTGGTCGCCCAGGGGTTCTCCAGCCTCCACTAGTACAAACAACATGGCAAGGCATGGGGGATGGGACCACTGAACTGTCCCCGACCAGTGACCTTCTCCCCCCCAGGGCTCACTCTGTTATCTCAGTCTTCCCTGGGCCCTGCTGCATCGACCCTTGGCCCTGTGCTGGGGGCACTGAAGGTTGGCTCCTTCCTCTCGGGGTGCCCTGCTGCCGCCATGGCTGTTTGCCCAGTTGGAGGTAAGTGACCCTGAATATCAGACACCTTTCCTTGGGCTCCCAATACTGCACGGAGAACTATGATAAGGAAGATGGGCAGTACAAACAACATGGCAAGGCATGGGGGATGGGACCACTGAACTGTCCCCAACCAGTGACCTTCTCCCCTCCCAGGGCTCACTCTGTTATCTCAGTCTTCCCTGGGCCCTGCTGCATCGACCCTTGGCCCTGTGCTGGGGGCACTGAAGGTTGGCTCCTTCCTCTCGGGGTGCCCTGCTGCCGCCATGGCTGTTTGCCCAGTTGGAGGTAAGTGACCCTGAATATCAGACACCTTTCCTTGGGCTCCCAATACTGCACGGAGAACTATGATAAGGAAGATGGGGCCTGTACCACACTTACCATAACTTCCTGTTTGCGGCATTGCAGATGAATCTTCAGCTTCTCATTAAGTAATTCC